TAAGAGGGTAAGAGGTCAGCGGTATCCACACACACACACACACACAGCATGAAGATGCTGACAGATTGCAATCTGAGAGTCATAACTATAATGTGTAGTACTTCCAAGAGATAAATACCAAGGGAGATGTTGCACCTTAGAGTGAAGAATGGCTTCCCAGTAAGCATCCTATGGATATAAGCCTCATTAAGTCTCCTGCACAACTTTTCCTCTACACCCACTGTTACTGAAATCCCAGATTGTATGAGCCTTTCTACTCCTTTTGAAGCAACTATAGGATTAGGATCCACCATTCCCACAACCACCCTCTTAACCTTAGCTCGAATTAGAGCTTCAGTGCATGGAGGAGTTCTTCCATAATGGTTACATGGTTCCAAGCTTACGTATGCAGTTGCTTGCTCAGCCATAGCCCCTGCATCTCTTAGTGCAAACACCTGAAAGTAACTGATTTCAGTCTCATACATTACAGCATAGTCCATAGGCAGGGGAAAGTATACTACATCTGATGGACTATAGAGATAATATTCGATTGGGGTCATCACAGTCTCATGAAATGATGGATGACGATTCAGTGAGGGATCCAGTCCATTACCATCCATCATTTCTTTAGACAGCTGCAGTCCATTCGACTATAGCATATTTGCCCTAAAGCTAGGAGTCTATGATTATCTTAGAAACTAAAGCATAAAACACAGCATAGAAAGATGGAGGAGAAAAGACGGATACAACATCTTACTAAGAACAAAGTTAAACGCAAGTGTCTCTAGCTTATTTCTCTTTTCTTTTGTGATTGATCAAAATAAAAAAGAAGTTACGTTAAGTGGCATGAGGAACACAAGCAAAAGAAAATAACCATAAGAAAGTTTTCAGCTTCTGTGCACAGAGAGTTTTCAGCTACTATAACCAGGAGACCTCTTAAAGCAATAGTTTAAATTTCAGCTAATTTTGGTTTATTAGCAGTTTTGGGCCTCGGCAGAAAGATAAATACCCAAGTTGGTAGACGGTTCTGACCAAGAAAAAGGGTATCATACCTATCCATAGGCCACTCTTTATATCTTCAATTTTGGAGGCATCCAACCAAATTTTGAAATTGTTCATAAAATAAACTCATAGAAAAATGATGCCTTTCTTTGGATATTCAGATTAAATAAGCATGAAAGTTAGCCAAAATCAGGCCGAAATTTAACACATTGCAAAGCAGTTCATGGTGTAAGTTTTGCATTGACCAATTGATCCTAAATCGAGAGCAATTATGATTTTGGAAGATCTATGAGAAAAGAAGAAAACAATAGCTTACAATGAGAATCAAAGTTAAGCAGAAGGTAACAACATCTTTTTCTTATTTTTTCATTTGTAAGATAACAATGTTTTCTTCGTGTATATTCTTTTTTAATTTTTTGGTTGATCAAAATTGAAATGACTATTCATAAATAATTTATTGAAGATACCTTGAAATTGGAAGGCATCCTTTCTAAATTAAAAGTATTCATAAATCAGAGTTTTGAAAATGGTTCCTTCAGTTTGGATAAATGGATTCAAATATGCATGCAATGTAGATGTAACTTGGTTCTCACATTGCAAAACCATTCATGGTGGAAATTCTGCATTAATCCAGTGTTCCTATATTCAAAACAAATATAATTTTGGAGAATCAATGGCATCTATATCAATCAGTTTACTGGGACCGGTCGAGTCCACTTGGACTCAGCCGAGTTTCATTCGGGTGTGCTGTACACCCATGTGTGTATAAATTATATATCTTAATACATCTATTTTGTGTCAAAAGTGATCAAAGGACTTCTTGGGTAGAATGTCCGCTTGCTATTTGGTGGGTGTTTGAGCCCCCAAAACAAACACCTCCCTCTAAACCAAGTGCTCCCTGTAAGGAATTAAAAAACAAGAGTTCAAAGAAGTTCCATAGCAATGAACCCCAAACCTATGAACCCCATAAAGATGCAAGTGAAGAGCGACGAACCCAACCAATGCATCAATTTATGTTTGATGTAAAAAATGGGGAGGTTATATATTATATATGATTCTTTATGTCTTTATCTCTATTTTTTTACTCACCCAAGTAACTCGACTCAGCCAAGGGCCTTGTACCTTTGCCAAGTGGTTTTTCTATACAATGATATCAGTATTCCATAACTTATCCCAAGGTACTACAGTATCCAAAAAAAAATTGCTGCCATAGTGGCCCTATGAAATAACCAAATTGACCTTCTTTAGATGTAGTTTTCAATAACACTTGTTCTTGTTATGGGTCAATACAATAGCAATAACAGGGTATATAATTTGTAGTCTCAACAGGATACTTGCACTCTCAGCAGAATACTTGAAACAATATCCTTCTAATAAAATGATATGCCATTCTCCATCAGGGTTTGTTGCACGTCCTATAGGAACTAAGATCACCACACTAAAAGTTTTTAGAAATGACAATAAGGAATCCCTAAGTCAGTCACAATGAAATGGCAGCTTCTTTTTTAGATTCCAGCTTCTTCATCATTTCTATTTGAGGAAGGAATAGATTTAACCATAACAATTTTTCCTAGATTGGTATGTCAATCAAATCATAATTCAAAGAAAAATCTGTGTACTAGTACAATTGACGCTTATAATAACCCTACGTTTCAAATGTTCAGCACCATAAGTAATGGTATCTATATGAAACGCAAAACTCAATGGGGACTTGACAAGGGCTGTAGATGGTTTAGATATGATCATATGACTCGATTTGAACTCAATCAAAGCATATCCATAAGACTTGAAAAATTAAGAAACAATAAAATCTTATATTATGCAATGTGTCTCTTAAAGAGACCATATACCATACTCATGCCCGGTTGGTGGCCTTACTTATCTGAAAATGGTAGAGATGAGCAGCTGCTTAGAAGAGGAACAAGAAAGGCTTGAAAATGGGATAAAGGCTCATCTCTATTGTCTGTTGATAGGTACAGAAAGTCGGTGACTAATCTGAGTAACTTGCACTATGCTTGATATGAGTATAGGACAATTTCCATATTATAAAAGTGTTCATGCAAACCAAAATACTATGTAAACCATTACATATTTATGATTCGTTATTTTCATATTAATCGACAGTGCGACTTAATTTAAATAGTTAATCAGGCACAAGCATGTGCATTGCAAATGTTGGTAATTTATATCGTATAAACATCTAAAGCTAATAAGACATACAATAGAATATAATTTAAAAGTTTCATCAAGCATAAGCATGTACTTACCAAATATTGGAAAAAGATATCATAAACACCTAAAAATCATAAAATAATTAAACAAATAAATAATAATGTCCGCACTAGTATCCTGTGCTGATAACAAAGACTAAGGAAAAAGAATTAGTTCTCATCCTCATACAATTCTCATCCTTATAGTCTTATACAATGTTAGTATATCAGTGACTACCACACCAGCGTGATGGAGACAATAGGAAGAGTGTTTGAGAAGTTCTCATCATCATCATCAAAGCCTTTTTCAAACTATTTGGGGTCGGCTGTGTTTGAAAAGTTCTATTCATCCAAATTTGGAGGTAAATTGAAGGGTCAATTGGATCTATTTTAAAAAAAAATTGATTTTTTTTTGGGATAAAAATATATGGTTTAGGGATTTAGAGTTTGCATGATTCAAATAAAGAGGGGCTTATGAAATACTTTCCTTTTTTTAATAACAATGACTAGATTATGCCAGAGATTGTCTTACAAAGAGAAAAGGAAGTTATGTTGAAAATTAGTAATTGAGTAATTTCTCTGGGAACAGACAAGCTAATACTTGATTATTTTAATGTTTTTGAACTGATAAACACAATTATTTCAAATGTGTGTGATGCCCAATAGATACAACATACATTCATTATGAACCTTTTCTCATTTCCTACTATTTTTTGTACATTTTCTGATCTAATTATACCTAAGTTTTTCTTATTCTTCTTCTTCTTCTCTCTCTCTCTCACAAATGGAATTCCTTACTAATTGCTGAATACTTGCTATGTGACCACGCTTAGGAAATGTGGCTAACCTCCATTCTAACAGAAGCCCAATCATCAAGAATGCCACTTGGACTCATTATGAACTTCAAAACTAGACCAAGAAACAAAGCACAATAGGAGGCACTTTTCCAGCTTGGTTCAATGAGATCTAGTGAACTACTATAAATCAGAAAATGAAGAAGGAAAAATGGAAGCCTTGATCACATGCATGCAACATTGTGTCGTTTGTCTCAGCCATCAAGTTTTCTTTCAAATTCCGTACTTGCCAATTCAGAGAGAGAGAGAGATGATTACCTCAGCATGGGGCTGGCCTGCCTTAGGATGAAACCCTTCTCCCACAATCTTCCCATCCTTCACAATCACACATCCCACCATTGGATTAGGACTGGTGCACCCAATGGCCTTCTTAGCCACCTCCACACACCTCCTCATGTAAAACCCATCATCATTTTCCCCCAAATATCCACATTTAACAACAATTTGAGCACCATTTCTAGTAACTGGTACAAAACTAGAGAAACCCATTGGAGACCTCGAAAGAACCATTCTGAGAAAATGGGGCCTTTCAATTGAAGAAATGGTCTGATAGGGGGTGATCCTACTGAAAAGGAGGGGCTTTTCAGTGAAAATCATGCATGTTTGATTGTATAGAGCCATGGTGGACTCAAAGACTCGTTCCACTTGATGAAAATTTGTCACTGATCCATACTTGGGTTTCTGAGAGACGGACAAGTACTATTTTCTTGACTGCATCTGCCCACAGAGAGAGAGAGAGAGAGAGAGAGAGAGAGACGG